AAGTTCATCTAAAACATCATTAATATCCACGTTAATATCACGATGAATATTAAGTAAGGCTAAACCATTTAAACGTATTTGTCCAGAAGAATTTCTCAAATAAGTTTTCAAACGACGGAGTGTTGAAAACGATCGTTCTCCTGTGGCAGTAGATATTGGAAGTGTAATAAATATTTGAAGAAGCTTAGATATTATTGGATAAACATCTGGACAGGTTTGGAAGTATACTTCAATAGCATTTTTGTTCTTGAGTTCAGCAGATGTTAAAGTTGAATATTTAGTGTACCACAAATCTAATTCTCCGTTTAATAAATTATCATTTAGATTTGAATCGGTACATTTATCAACTATATCTTGATATGTTTCTACTAATTGTTTGAATTTACCTTTTATCTCTTCAGATATTTTCATTTCTATCTTGGATAAAATACAATCAAAATTATTCAAGACAATCTTGTGTGATATAAATCTATCGTTCAATTGGTCTAGAAAATTATCTATAAAAGGTATGAATACTGAGACTCTCAAAAAGTATTCTGGATTATCCGATTTACATTGACGTGGCAAACTAACAGTAATATAAAATTTTTAACACAATGTTATCACAGATAAAAATAATTGTTGAAACTCTACATCACAATTTTCTCTAATTTCCTGAATAGTATTTTGAACATTAGATGCAGCTTCTAGTGCAGTTTTTAGATCAAGATTTACTGTTTGAAGATATTGGCTGAGAGGAAAACGTATGGAAAGTATTTTCACTAAAATAGCTAAAGCTGTTTGAAATTTTAACTGTCTTATCGCAGTAAGTAGATGACTTGCAGAACTAGAAGTGTCAGAATCTGGCCAAAGTGTTATTTTATCTAGTGCATGTAAAATGGCTGGTTGAAGTTCTTCAAATAATATAACTGCATCATGGCGATCGACCCATCGAGTTGCACATAAATTTTTTGGTTTAAAACGATTGGTCTGTGGAAATATTTCTACTATTGATAATTGCAAAATACTTTGCGTTTTTGGATAACCGAAAAAAGTACTTACACTTTGTATAGTACCCATACAATTTCTTATTTCTGGGACTTTACAGCTAAAAGTTATTGCTAAATTTAAACAATGTAAATAAAATGCACTAGGATGTTCATCGCGAATAAATTTTTGTACGCAATTATATCTGCCACTCATTGCTGCAGCTCCGACGTACCCTTGCCCAGTTAAATATTTAGTATTTAGTCCGAAGTCAGTAATAATTTTCAATATAACATCAGATAATCCTTTTCCTGACATATTTTGAATTTCGATAAATTGTAAGAAGTCTTCTCTAATTTTATTTGCATTAAAATCGACATAACGAACACATAATGTCATTTGTTCTTTGTTAGAAACATCTGTCGTTTCATCAGCCAATATGGTGAACGATTTAGATTTATTAACATTAGCTACCAAATGTTCTAGAATTAATTTATTGCAGATTGATATTATTTCGTTTTGGATCAATGGACTTAGATAGGTGGCATTTTTATTGGTAGTTTCTAAATGATTTTTAAGCACATTGTCACCAGAATCAATTCGAAATTTAATTAGCTCTCTGAAATTTCCCTGATATTCTGTACTAGCATGTTCATTTAGATCAATAACTCCCGAATCTCTATGCCCTCTTAACGAAATTTCTTGATTTCCGCAAAATAAAATTGTTTTAATAATTGGACGGAGACGATCTCTGTTATCATTAATTTCTTTTTTTAAAGCTTCATTTATCTGCCTGTCAATTGATTCAACTTTTTTAATTCTAATTGCCAAAAAATTATCATATTTAATTTGACTAAGTTTGTGGTAATGATTATTTTGATGGTCTTTAAACGAATCTTTGGCTTTTTTCAAATTATTATATTTTTCAACAATCAATTTCCCAGGATTTTGTTGACCACCCTTTCCTAATCCATCTGATGGTGGGAATAAAATACATGTCAAACAAAAAGCCCCATCTTGTATTTTTGAGTAACGAAGCCAACAGAAC